TAATGTTATTATTGAATAAAAATGTTATTGTAGCTTAAAAATTAATTTATTAAACGATTTGATTTGTTATTAATTTCATTAAGAGTATGTTTCTGTAATAATTTTAATTAAAAAAATTACTTGTGGGTATATACTAATATATTAATTATTCTTATTAATTCAGCCGTTAACTGCTGCTACTAAATACAAGCCTGCCTCATAAAGGGAGTTTTGCTAGTAGTTGTCATGTTTGGCAGGCGGGTTGGTAAGTGTAGTTAGGTTATTATTTTTTATTTGATGGGTGATAATGGAATGGTAACCCTCCTAACGGAATACGCTAGCGGAGCACCGGTGAAGGGTGATAGATGAGAATGAAAACAGGCCAGTTAGCCCATCATGATGAATCCATCAGGAATTAACTATGATAGTTTCCAGGGAGAACCGCGAGGAGGTCGACCTGGTTGGGTATACTTGCTAGCAATAGGATTCTCAGTCTCCATTACTAACAATTAATTTCCCCTCCAGTGTAGTTAGGTTATTAGAGATGTTTTATTAGCTGTTGCCATTCCGTCATCATCCATCCCTCGCTTTCCTTTAGTTGGATTTTACCACACCCACGGAAAGGAAGGGATGGTATAATCTATGTCGGAACATACATATACTATATATAGCAATATATAGCAATATCTATATATTTTAGTTACAAGAACGAATATGTTAAAAATCTGTTATCCAAAAAATAGTATTGTATAACAGACTTTTAATATATTCGAATATAATTGAATTTGGTGGGTACAGAGGAATAACATCTGAGTCCTTAGGAATGGCAACGCATAGGGGTATCAAGGGCGAAACAGTATACTCTGTTATGTCCATGGTACTGCTCATGTCTATATGCGACGGTTACCACTTTCCATCAGGTGGGCCGTCAGCTTGTTTGCCATTCTAAGTTGTATATATATATATATATATATATATATGGGCGATATCGAAATGGGTAATGACCTATTCTCCGCCATAAAGTTCAGAGGAACCCAATATATAGATATTGGATCGGCATCTATATTACGAGTATATGCGTACTTTTTATTAAATTCTATTGCAATAGACTAGTATGGAAATTTAAAAATAATCGCCTCTAACGTTTCCATTTAATACTTTTATCCAACAGAAGCAATATTATTGAAGATATGAAACAATTGTGCCCGTTTATTAAGGTTTTATACTGAAATTTTGCTACTGGAATGCATACACCTGCGATGTTGAACGGTTTACTAAAATATTGGCGGCCATCGAGAACGGTACTTTTTATTTTATTTTATTTTAAAAATTTTATTTTCAGCTCTGAAATTGGTTTCCACTTGTGTGAAGTTTTGAATTTTATATTATACTTTAATCTTTACGGTTTTCTTTATATTTATGGGGGACGATTAACACTTTTTATTAGTTTTTTTTTTAATTATTAATCAGTGAAAATGCAATGGTAATGAGGCATCAATGATAGATAATAGGTGAAGACGAAGGCAGGTCAGTTTTATTTATTTATTTATTTGAAAATTACTCACCACACTTACAGTTTCCCATAACGTGTAGTGAGCCATAGTTTTATTTTACAAATTTACAAATATTGTACAACATTTTAAAAATATATTTATTTTGTCATTAAATATGTCAATATCTATCTGCTGAGCAATCAGAGAATTGAGCAGAGAAATAGCTTGATAAGTGGGAGCAAACTGAGCAGTACAGGTGTGAACCGGCGGTGCCGATAGTAGTCGACAAGCACGCAATCGCATGCAGCGTTGGGGTGCGTACAAAGAACAGTTACAGTTGGTCCGTCGTGAAAAATTTGACAAGAACTAACCACGATGGTTTCCAGGGTAAACTGCGTGGAGGTCGATCTGATAGGGTATATTGCTAGCAATGGGACTGCTATGAACGGTACTGCTCATATCTATAGGCGACGGTTACCACTTTCCATCAGATGGGCCGTCAGCTTGTTTGCCATTCTAAGTTGTATAAAAAAAGATATTTTTATGAAATTCATCATCTTTATAATATGAGACGTTAACTGTTTATGACAAGCTGCTGCTGAACATAGACGTGAAGCAGTTGTGATTGCATGGCTGTGTTTCGGTTTGAAGGGTGGGATAATGCAGTGAATTTACAGGGTACAGAGGAATAACACCTGAGTCCTCAGGAATGGCAAGGCATGGGGGGTATCATGGGCGAAACAGTACACTCTGTTATGTCCATCGTACTGCTCATGTTTATAGGCGACGGTTACCACTTTCCATCAGGTAGGCCGTTTGCCGTCAGGTTGCGACGCTTGGCAGGCGAGTTAGCAACTGCAGTCAGCCTTAAGTAATATTTTAAGAAGGACGCTGCTGCCCATCTTTCGACTGTTAAGTTCTCTTAGTCGTCTCTTACGATACCAACGGGAAAGGAAGAGGTGGCCCATTTTATAGTATATATTTTATAGTTCTGAACCATGAGACTAAATTTGCGTTCTAAACTTAAGTAATTTCATACAAACGTTCAAGCCGTTTACACCTTATATATATTAAAATTACAAATAAAGTATAGTCATACAATTAGCTACTATTTTATCTTAATTAAAACTTGCATTATCAGTATCGTCATTGACGGAGTACGGAGATTGTTTACATTACACAACGGTGACTCTTACATTTATAATATGCGAGTATTTCACAACATTTTTAGTGAATCGAGTAAAATACTATGTATCATCTTGAAGAATGCTCTCTGATCATAGATAATATGCATTTAGATAGAGTGTCGTGTTAAAAAATGCCCCATGCAACCGTCAGTCAAATGTTTAAATGTTAAAAATTTTGAATCAATATTCAATTGTTAATTTTCAATATGGTATTATATTTATGTACATGATATGTAAGTAATTTTTACCTGTAAAAGCTTTTTCATCGCGTTAAGTCCCGATTGTGTATTTAAAATACAGTGTTCAATTCTATCATTTATAGATTTCTAGTTTTACTGAATGAATGAATAAATATTTAGATATAATAATATAATTTTAGGGAGGATTTTTGTACAAAAGTCGTTTGCTTGGGTACCTCTGTCCCATTCGTGTTTCAACTGTAAAACAGTTGTGTTTGTATGGCTGTATTTCGGTTTGAAGGGTGGGATATGGCGTGAATTTACAGGGTACTGAGGAATAATACCTGAGTCCTCAGGAATGGTAACGCATGGGGGGTATCATGAGCGAAACAGTATACTTTGTTATGTCCATGGTACTGCTCATGTCTATAGGCGACGGTTACCACTTTCCATCAGGTGGGCCATTAGCTTGTTTGCCATTCTAAGTTGTATAAAAAAAAAAGAATAAGTTGACTGACCAAAATTAGAAATTAGTCTTGTTCTCTATTTCAAATAGTTCTTTTATGCCAGTTTCATGACGTATGGTTGACAGTAATCTGTCAATCATACGTCACCTGTTAATACAGGCCAACTTTATTTCATATTTATAATTTTTTATTTTTTTATTTATTAAGGAGACTACCTCGTTTTTAAACCTACTTCAAAAAGAAATAAGTCCTCAATTCGGTTGTATTTTTTTACACAGATAAAGAGATAAATATTATAAATTAATTATATTACACTCTTCGCAAAGGAGGAAGTTCTCATATTGATTATACATAATTATTTTGAGTTTATGTTACGATTGAATAATTATATAATTTGGATATTGGATATCAATCTAACGTATAATCATATGATATACAAATTAATAAACATATATATGTATATATATTACAATGGCAGTCACATTTAATGATTCTAATAACGAATACGTATTTCAAAATCGATACAGGATCGGTAAAGGAAAATATTAATGTGAATCAAATTATTGTTCTATTCGGTTTTTTTTAAGTACAGGCGTGAGAATTTTTTGTTATTTTATTTAAATATTATATGATTAATTATATTAATAATATAGTATTTTAATATGATATTATTTATTTAATTTTTTTTTATTGTTAGGGAGGCAAATGGGCAGACGGTCCACCTGATAGAAAGAGGATACCGTCGCCTATGAACACTTGAAACACGGCAGGAGTTACTTGTACGTTGCCGGTCGTTTAAACTTTTATAGTCACGTGTTTTGAAATGCCCTATATGATATTGTAAGGGGAAAATTATGTATTAATAAAATTTTTATCTTTTATATGTATTAATATTACTAATTTTAATATTAAGAAACAACTTTTTTTTTTTATACAACTTAGAATGGCAAACAAGCTGACGGTCCACCTGATGGAAAGTGGTAACCGTCGCCTATAGACATGAGCAGTAGCATAGATATAGTCCATGGTGGACATAACAGAGTACACTGCTTCGCCCATGATACCCCCCATGCGTTGCCATTCCTGAGGACTCAGGTGTTATTCCTCTGTACCCAGTAAATTCACGCCATATCCCACCCTTCAAACCGAAACACAGCCATGCAAACACAACTGCTTCACGGTTGAAACACGAATGGGACAGAGGTACCCAAGCAAACGACTTTTGTACAAAGTCTCCCTCTGGTAAACTACAAATTCTTGTACTTCTATGCATACACACACAAGAAAACGTTGGACATTTTTTGGCAAAACCATTGGGACTCCCTATCTAGTAGTTATGTTGACATACTCTATCTATTTTAAATACACTATTGGCACTTAACGCTACGCAATTGCAGGTAAATAATACATACCTAATTTTTATTGCTGTTGTTTCTATGTCAATCCACTATGTCGGGGTCAAGACATGACTGAAGTAATCTATACTTTAGTCAGGACAAGACTGACTAGTCATATATGACCTGTTTCATCCATTAAAAAAAAGGTAATTGGAGATAAAAAGAGTGCAGACATACAGTATTCTTACACCGTCCTCACATAGATTTTAAAGTATATTTACTTGTAACAATTAACAATGTTATATAGTGCTATGTCATGTTTACGTTTAAATTAATTTTATCTCAAACCAACATTATTACTCGTACATTACCGCCGGTTTCGATTACAATACGTATGTACCGCGCGCTTATGTGACATGATACCAGAAGCGAAAGTGTTTGCATTCTTTATTTAAAAAAGGAATGAATATATATTATTTTAAATATAGAATTAATGTGCAATTTTTGATAAATTAAAACCAAAAATATACGATTTTAAATAGAGAATCAGTGTTCGATTATTAAAAAAAATACAATAATAGTTTCTTAATATTTTTTTTATGAAGTTGTTGTTGAAAGTGCTTTTGGTTGACAGTATTTAATATTATAAAAAAATGGCAGATATTGGAAAAAATAGTGAAGGTAAGTGAATAATTTTAACTTACACTTGCACGCTACTTTGTACGTGCGGATTTCGGAACTAGGAATCAATGAAATAAATTACTTCTAGATGGCAGATGGTGTGTAAAGATAAAATATATACCAGTTTTTAAGTTATACTTTCAGGAAGACAATAGTGAAAATCGCATCCGGTTTGATGCAATAGTTTTTACATGATGCTGTTATTTTCCCACTGCTGAATATAGTCCTCCCTCATAGACTTCCATAAGTAACGGTCCCAAATCACCTGCATCCACTGACTCGCTGATTCGCATTTGAGTTTGTTTCTCCATCTAATGGGGGTCGACCTACATTACGTGCCAGTAATGGGTCGCAACTCAAGAACCTTCTTTCTCCACCGTTTGTCGGTTTTTGAGATATTTGAACAGTCCACTGTCACTTTTTTTTATACAACTTAGAATGGCAAACAAGCTGGCGGTCTACCTGATGGAAAATGGTAACCGTTGCCTATAGACATGAGCAGTATCATGGACATAACAGAGTATATTGTTTCGCCCATGATACCCCCAATGCGTTGCCATTCCTGAGGACTCAGGTGTTATTCCTCTGTACCCTGTAAATTCACGCCATATCCCACCCTTCAAACCGAAACACAGCCATGCAAACACAACTGCTTCACGGTTGAAACACGAATGGGACAGAGGTACCCAAGCAAACGACTTTTGTACAAAGTCTCCCTCTGGTATTGATGGTCGAGGGATGGACAACAGAGTACTTAAATAGAAAAAAGTAGAGTATTTAAATATCACCAAAAACTGCGGTTGCCAATCCGCCTGCTTAGTTTGGTAACTATTGGCAAAACCACCCAATAGGGAGAGGCTTATATTCAGCAGTAAATATTTAATGGCTGAAATGATGATGACGATGACATCTCCTAATTCATTAAATGAGCATTTCCTTTTAGATGCGTCCACTAAGAAAAGAGATCCAATGGAAATTATCGAAGAAGCACTGGTCCTATGCAAATTTGGAAAATTCCATCTTCTCCTTCTATTCGCGTCAATGACTGGAGTGTTTGCTTCGACTACAGCCACAACTACTTCGTCGTATATTTTGCCGAGTGCAGAATGTGACCTACATATGACAATAATGCAGAAGGGACTATTAAATGCCATACCATTTGTTGGTAAGTACCTTAATTAATTAAAAAATATATAATTAAGAAACAAGATGCACTCGTCTATAACTAAATAAATAGTTTTAAGAATTAGACGATGTAATTTTCACAAAAAACTGACTTCAATTGTAGCAAAACTAATTATTATGACTGAAGAACTAAACTACTGAACTAATTTTGATAAAATTTCCATGGGGCCAATCTGTAAGTATATCGTTTCAGATAAAAAAAAAGAATTTTCGAAATCGGTTTACAACGAACGGAGTTATAAGGTAATAAACAAGAAAATATTTATATGTATATATAATATTTATTTTTATTTTTTGTCTATACCGTATGTTTTGAAATATTTTCCTCGTTAATTCCGAACCTATTTTGGTAGTTATGTTTGAATCACAATTAGGAATATGGTTCCAACATTATTTTTCTCACTATTAAAATTGCTTGTTTATGTTATAAAATATTTTATTAATACAAAACGATTTTAATGATTATTTAATTAAAATTGTTTACTGTAAAGGTATTTCATAATCCCAGCTTAGGCCAATCCCATTGTCCCTAATTAAAATAATTCTAATGTAATATTATATCCACGTCGGCAATTCTTAATGGGGATAATTAAATATTTATTAAACGGATTAAATGCGTCCCATTTTCCTTTTAAGGTATGGCTGATAATGTTAAACAAATATATTTTATACCTTAGTTTATAAAGTACTAAGGTATAAAATATATTTGTTGTTATAATATGCATATATAATGTATTTTTTTATTACTGGAATGATGACAAATTTATAAAAGAAAATCTAAATGCATAATCCGATACAAAAAAAGCGGCACAGAAAATAGAGCGCGTTTAATCAAGTTTTGCATTCATTTCTGACTATCTGTTAAGTTTGTAATCAAATGGGCTAGAGCACCTAGATACCGGCTTGATCCTCTTGACTCGGTTCAAAGACAGGCTATGAGAATTGTCGACGATCCCAAGCTTTCATGCGGTATCGATCATTTAAGTCTAAGGCGAGACTTTGCCTCCCTTTGTATGTTCTACCGCTTGTATAACGGATTGTATTCTGAAGAATTATTTGAAATGATTCCTGCAGTTACCTTTTATCATTGTATTGCTTGCTATTAATAGGGGATTCATTTTCAGATGCTTGAACCTAAATGGACACGTACAATGCAGTTCCAAAGGAATTTTCTCACGCGAACACTTAAGCTACAGAATGGCTTCCCAGCCGAGGTTTTCCTAGAGTATAGGGTTTTTCAAAAAGGGTATATTAAGATTTCTTCAGGATCGGCAACGTGTATGTGTATAGCCTTAGTGTTACAGGCATCCATAAGCTACAATGACTGTTTATTATCAGACGGACTATATGCTTGTTTGCCACCTTAGTGGTATAAAAAAGTACTAAAATTTTCTTGTTAGATTTGTAAAAATATCTTATCTAGAAGTATTGTTTATTATTTTTGTTAAGTTCGATTTGAAGAGTAGGATATGGCAGTGAAATTATGGGATACAGAATAGAGTAGAAAATATTTATTGCCAGAAAAATACATAATTACAACAGATAATACAAAAATATTATAAATACGAGAAGTGTCTCATATTAGGCAAAAAGAACTGGCTCAGCTGATGATGTGAGTGTCCCAATGTCCTCTTAACCTACAGTGGCAAAACACCTTAGTTCTCAGGAATGGCTATGCATGAAGGGTATCATGGGCGATACAGTATACTCTGTTATTTCCATGATACTGTTCATGTCTATAGGCGACGGTTACCACTTTTAATCAGGTGGGCCGTCAGCTTGTTTGCTATTCTAAGTTGCATAAAAATAGTACTTGAAACTATGGTATGACAGGCATTTATTTTTTAGTATAAATTCGAAATAATTTTAAATATAATTTTCGTTTGCATGTCAATGTGATATCGTATACAAAATATTTATTAAACTCATTAAATGGGTTTTTTCATTTTATTCCACTCTTGATAATGATAAGTAAATATTTTCCAAACCGTTTCTTTGTATAATGAAACATCATATCCGTGTTAATGAGATTTGAATAAATTTTTTTTACTCGTTACTTGCGACTTCGTTCGTGTAACCGGGATATAAAGAAAGAAAGAAAGAAGAAGGAATAAATATTTTTATTTAAGTAACACACACACTTATCATTGTAGAATAACCCCCCACTAGATGGAGTGACGACCTGAAATGCATTGGAGGGAGTCAGTGAATGCAGGTGGTTCAGGAATTTTTTTATGGCAGTCTATGGGGGAGGCTTATGTACAGCAGTGGATAGATAGTGACTGAAATAATGATGGTTCTTATTTTTGTGGGTGATAATGAAATGGTACCCCACTCGCGCTGTTGGTATACACCGGCGGGGCACCAGTGAAGGATGATAGGTGAGGATGAAGTAGGTCAGTTAGCCCATCGTGACGAATTCAACAAGAATTGTTCACGATGCTTTCCAGGGGGAACTACGTGGAGGTCGACCTAATAGGGCATATTGCTATTCCCCCCTGATGATGGTACTTAGAATTAAACATTTTGGAATACTCATTTTTTCATTACCATCCGTTCGAAACGCAACTTCAGCCAAGAAGAACGGGTTGAATTTCTTATTCAGTCGTAACTTTTTTCAAAAAGTTTATTTATATATATAATGAAATTGTATTCTTATACAAACGATTAAGCAGTATCAGATCAGAAAGTAGTCGTGACCTTTAGTTGTAAACAGTTTTGTAATGTTTTTATCTGAATGGATACGTTCATAAATTAGTTTCATAGAAATTCTATCGAGATCGGTCCAGTTGTTTAGTTTTTTTAATAAACATAATTAGTTTTGTCAAAAATGAATTCGGTTTTTTTGTGGAGCAAACTTAATTTGTCGTTTTATTTATACAAGAAAAATCGTAGTGCATGAAAGCTTGTAATGCTAGAGGCATTAGTCGTATTGCTTATCCTTGTTACATGAGGGATGAAGTCAAAATAACTTTGTCACAATTAAAGTTAGTTTTTTTATACAACTTAGAACGGCAAACAAGTTGACGGCCCGCCTGATTGAAAGTGGTAACCGTCGCCTATAGACATGAGCAGTACCATGGACATAACGGAGTATACTGTTTCGCCCAAGATAACCATGCGTTGCCATTTTTGAGGACTCGGGTGTTATTCCTTCTATATTATTATATTATTTCCCTGTAAATTGGCTGCCATATCCTATCCTTCAAACTGAAACACAGCCATGCAAACATAACTGCTACACGGTAGAAACACGAATGGGCAGAGGTACCCAAGCATACGACTTTTATACAAAGTCTCTCTCTTTTTTTCTTGGACACAATCTTTAATTATTACTCTGTAAAAATCTCAGCTACACCATAGTTTCCCGCCATAAATGAGTAATAATATTCATTACAGGTCAAGTGGGTGCGGCATTATTCACGGGTTTCCTAACGGACGCGTTCGGCAGAAGAATATTTCTCGTGAGCGGATATTTCGGGATGTTTGTGTGTTCAATACTCGAAGGGACGAGCCAGAGTTATTTAGTATTGTTATTAGTTAAACTAATAGAAGGCATTTTGTGAGTATATATTTGCTATCAGTGTCAATAATTTCTATTGTCTCACAATGATATAATAAGAATACATACTATTATTATTAGTTAATGATAGTTACTATTAGTTAATAATAACATTAGTTGCAGCAATATGCTGAGCACGGACCTACATCACAGAACATTGCGACACACACGCATATCCATTTTTCTAGTTTTGTCACTCTGCATATCCATTTTTCTAGTTTTACACTTTACACAAAAAAAAAGTCTATACTCCGAAAGGCCACACAATTGCAGTTTTCGGTATATCTTCCTCAAAAACTGGGATCTGATTATAGGCTTTAACTAAGTCTATTGTGGAAAAGATTTTACAACCAGAGATGCTATGGGCGAAATCATGTATGTGCCTAATTGGATAACGATCTGGATCTGAGGCTGGCCAGCCGTTATCCTTTTTAGGACCAAGGTGTAGCGGCGAAGCTCAGGGACTTTTGGAAGGACGTGGTGCTGCCATTACCCTATAAGTCTATGAACTATCTCGTTATTCAATACGTGCACTTACCCATAGTAGTTTCATCTTAACAACCCATTAACCCATAACTTTCTACGGAGTTTTCCTCATAATAAGACTATATTATGACTTACAATTGCCATACTGGGCAGGCGGTTTAATTTATGTTTTTTTTCGAGTTTTTCTTCTTTTGCATCGGAACGTTATGTTTAGTTTCCGTAGATGCCTGTTACAATATGCCTGGGATGAAATAACGTTATATTTGAAGTAAGAGAAATACCATATAATAACTATAATTTTTGTACGCTCTTAAAAAGTCTTTGTAAATAATTAAATAACAATTTAAATCATGATTGCAAAAACTACTAAGTATTAAGTAAACATTCGTTGTTTGATGAGATTAATTGCGGAAAATGCCCAGTAAATTCTAATATATTAGCATACTGATTATAGAAATCATAATTTACTGTTAATTTTCAATAATAAATAATAACAAGTGATATATTAAGAGCGTTATAAAGTTTAACGTTAATAACGTTTAACGTTATTAAGAGCAAAAATCACCGTTTGTGATTTTTCATAGGTTTAATCACTTTGATAATGATAAACATATTAATATCAATGATAAACTACATTATTGTGAACGAAAATCACTAATGATGAATTTTCATAGATAAAAGTACTGTTTAACGAGAAACAATTTATCTAAATGATAATGAATTAAAAGTAGCAATCATTTTCATGCCCACAAGTTAGGCAATATTCTTTTTACCTTCCTTTATGGGAAAAAATCCATGCCCGGTAGAACGTTAATGGTTTGTTAGGGCAAGACGGTAAGGTTGTTAAGGTATAAATAAGAGAAATCCCGTGACAGAGGAATTATATCCCTAATAATGAATCTACGTTGAATTTCCCCATTAACGCATTTCGGACACTTTCAGGCGCACCTCTAATCGCTCGGTGGTGCTAAGAGATTATTTTGTTTAATCCCTTTGCACACTTAGTAAGTAATCAGCGTTAATTTATTTAATTCCAGTAGTAGGCTTCTATTGTGACATGCGAAATAGCTCTTGTATTAAGCATTCAAAATAAATTCAGAATTCAGTTAATGTTTATATTTTATTATATATATATATATATATATATATATATATATATATATATATATATATAACCTTTATTTTTTCACACTTATTATTAAGTACCACACTCTCATTATATCACTCTTTAACTGACCACTGCTAGCTAAATATATGCCTTCCCTTTGATAGGTTTTGCCAATAGTTGCCACGCTTGGCAGACGGATTGGCAACCGTAGTTAGGCTTTAGAGATATTTTAAGAGGGACGCTGCTGCCTATCTCTCGCCCTGTCTTAGTTGCTTCTTACGATACCCACGGGAAAGGAAGGGGTGGCTTATTCTATGCCGGGACCACACGACACTACTTCACTATAAATGGTTGACACATGTTCTGTTGTCCGATCGGTTTAATGTGAAACGCTGCAGTGAAAAACTCATTTAAATAGTGGGACGTTATTGTTATAGACTTTATTTTTATTATTGATAATCCTTTTTTTTTCAGTTTAAGTATAAGCTTCAGTGCAACGTCAGTAATGATCTCAGAATATACTCATAAAAACGTAAGAGATAGAGTGATGATGTGTTACGCTGGTTTCATGTCAATTTCTTTAATAGTTATGGCTTTAATGTCATGGGCGATACTGCCACAACCATGGGATTTTGTTCTTTTGGAAGATCGTTTTGGTAAATATGATATCCTTATCTATATTTTTATTTTTATTATAACTCCAGAGAGAGGGAGAGGGAGGCGCCCGCCTTTCCGTGGAAAATAATTTCAAATATCTCAATACTGTTTATATACATATGTACTTATTATAGGAGCCAATTAGTACTATAAATGGACCGTCAGTGTGTTTATCAAGTTACATAAAAAAAAAACTATTTATTGTTGGTAGTACGAAATATTCTAAAATTAATTACTCCTTAAAGGAAATAACAGTTTTTTTTTAATAACAATATTTGTTTTCAGTTTTCCACTCATGGAATATTTATTTTTTCATATGCTCCATTTGGAGTTTGTTGGCTGGTATAAGTTATTACTGGTTACCGGAAAGTCCGAAATTTCTGTTGAGTCATGGACGAGAAAATGAAGCTCTAGAAATATTACAAAAAATCTACAGCATAAATAATGGAGTTCCAAAAGAATCGTTTCCTGTAAGTGACTTGAAGTATCCGTTTAAAATATGATTTCTGCATAGATCTCTTAATAAAGTGAACTTAATAAAAAACTCAGCAATATCTATTAAAATTAGTAGACTCAGCAAATAACTCAGCAATGACTTTAGTAAAATTCAGTAAATTTCTCTATTATTAAAATATGATACTTCGATAATTCTATATTACCTGTAATTGTAATATTAATATTATTACAGATTTTATCATTGAACTCTAAAGGTGAATATATACCGACAGTTACACATAGCTTCAAAAAACAAATAGTAAATGGGCTAATTGAAGTGAAGAATTTATTCAGAAAACCTTTACTTATGCGACTAATACTTTTTTGTGTTATGACATTCGTATGTTTGTTGGCGTAAGTATTAAATATTAATTAATAATTTAATCAATCAATCAATCAAAACAATTATATTATTAATTAGAAATGTCATTATAATTATTACAACATAACATTTTTTGACAAGTTTTACAAATAACAATAATGGGACCGAACGATGAAAACTAATAGTTAGACGTTTCAGTCATTAAAATATAATAGTATTACTAAATCTAATGAAACCTTCTTGTATACAAAAAATTTAAATATAAGGCGTTCCTTTGCCTCACGTATTTTTTTTAACAGTTACCAGTTCCATTTTTTTACAGTTATACCGCATTAAGGTTATGGTACCCTCAACTATCGACAATAGTTGAAAACTATCAGAAAATACACAATGAAACTGAACAGTTCTGTACTATGCTGAACGAATACACAACAGAGTTGGCTAGAAAAGTTTCTCAAATTAATATTAATGTTTCTGAACCTCAAGAGTGTATACCGGTAAGTAAGCTAGAGATAAATTAAGTTATAAATGGTCCCTTGTTCCGTATACAGAAGTGTGCGTAATTGTATTTATTCTAAATTTAAACTTTTTTAAATCCACAATTGAATGAAATAATAATATAAACTTTTCTTTTGAAAAGTAAAATGTGTACACTGAGTTTTTTGCATTAATATAAATAATAGTGCCATAAACTTAGCAATAGAATTAAAATCGGTGAGTTTTCCCTATTTTTTGTTGTTGTCATAATTACCACAAGGAAGTAGCTGAATAAAATTTAGTTTAATTATAATAACCTATAAAACATAGACTAGCTATTAAGTTGGACTAGTATCCCAACTATATTTTATCGGAACTGGTCGGGCGTATCACGATGAACCTCATAAGATTGATGTCTTTATCGTAGATGGTAGAAAAGATTCTTTCGGGCCCTAGGCACTAAAGTATAATTTGTAGTCTTTATAAGGTCTTAAAAAATATTTTCAGAAATTCAGTTGTAACTGAAAAAGTATTTTTATGCGGATAATACAGTTCCAACAATTTGGCTATAAAAGACATTTACTATTTTATTTATAAAACCTTCAACAATGATATATTGAGATATTTAAGATAATAAATATATGAAGGATCTTAATATGATCAATAGAAGCCAAAATAATAAAGTTTGAAATTTTGTCTATATATATTCTTTCATCACGAAAAACTGCACCTAATTAGATTCAGTCTTCAGTTGTAATCACGAAGGTCGGACTTAGATTCTCGTTTATGTTTTTTTCTTGATACGTTGTTTAAATGTGGTCTAATCTATTTTTTACTTATTTTTTTTTTACTTAATATAATAAAACAGCGGGCAAATGCTAGTTATATATCAAATAATATGATGTTATAATAAATGTTAAATTTTTTTCGATATCCGATTTGTTGATTCACAATTATTTTACAGCAAGTAAGTGGAGCTGAGACGTATATAAACGGGATAATTTTAGGTGTCGTCTCACTCAGCTGTATAGCCACGAGCGGTTACTTGGTAGCATTCTTTGGTCAGAAACCACTAATGATAGTTCTCTTGATACTGAGTGCAACGTGCTCGGGATGTCTCTATTGGACGTATTCATCAATACAAATAGCTATATTGGTATCAGCTACATGTGGATTTATGCAGACAGCACTGAGTCTTCAGCAGAGTATACTTGTTAGAGTATTCCCAACTACATTGAGGTGAGTTATTGAGTTATGTGTGTTATTTTTGCCATTATTTATCCGCTGTGTGTTGCGGTGTTTGCCAGTAGTTGCTACCCTCTGCAAGATGGTTGGCAACCGCAATTAGGCTTTTGGTGGTGATTTAAGAGGGACGCTACTACAAATCCTTCGACCAAGTTAAGTGTTATGCTGTGTGTGTTATAATAAACATACCAACTAGTCAGGAGTACTACCGAGTAAAAAAAAAATAATTTTTAACCACAACTGAAGGAGAAATCGGTGGGCATATATAAAAAAAATTACAGTACAATATAGAACTTTCTCCTTTTTTGAAGTTGGTTAAAAAAGAAACAAAAACTAAAAAGTATTGCAGACTTGTCAAAATATTTTTGTCCTTGTTTTTACCGTGGTTTTCCGAGTGGTGACATACTAACAAACAAGGCATTCTATGCTTAAAAGTAGACAATTGAAATAAAAACAATCTTTTTTATTATATTCTTTTATATTACAGACTTTGGCGTTGGAATTAACATGATTACTTAGGACCTTAATAATTTCATTATGCATTAATTCTATTAAATTTTCGGTAAACTATAATAATTTACATATTCTCGTATTGGCAGAAAAACTAAAGCTAATATATCAAACACTGTGAATTACTCCATTACCAAGGCCTGGGGAATATTCAACAGTCATCCATAGGATTGTTGACCGCATAATCCTGGCTTTCTAATCGTTTTTGCCTTCAGAGAGCACTTAAATTCATCTGTCTCAGTTGTTCTCGCTAAATAATAGTCGTTGAACTAAGTTGGAGGTCTTAAATGGTATGCTCTGAGAACCGATATTGAGGTTTTCCACTAAGTTAAACACCAAATCATACTTACTAAGATTTAAATTGAAATATCTCTCTCTCTCGTCCTCTTCATTGCTGAGGGTCGTGTCCTTGAAAGGTGTCTGTTGCCTCTCTTATGATGTTGATATTCCATTTTGCACGGTCTTCAGCTTCTCGCAGGGCAGCTGCAATTGACAGTCCCGTAACGGCGGTTACTTGGTCCGACCATCGATTAGGCGATCATCCGCGATATATATATATATATATATATATATATATATATATATATATATATATATATATATATATATATATATATATATATATATATATATATATATATATATATATATATATATATATATATATATATTGTGCCGTAAGAGGCGACTAAAGTAATTTAATGCTCAAGGTAGACTGCAGGTTGCTCTTAAAACATCACCAAAACCTAATTGCCAATCTGCCTGTCAACCATAGCAACTGTTGGCAACATCCTCCAACACGAAGAGGCCTATGTTCAGCAGTGGATAATTAACGGCTAATATGGTATGGTATGGTAATATATACAAACTAGTAATCCGGACTGGCTTTACACGGGTGGAAAGTAGATTTTGCCATTTAATAATACATAGACCTCCCCTATAAACAGGAGGGTTTGCTAGTATTTGTCATATTTGGCAGGTAGGTTGGTAACCGTAGTTGGGCTTTGGTGGTTTTGCAAGAGGGATGATGCTGCCCATTCCTCGACCATCCATTATTTCAGAAAGAAAGGGGTGGCCGGGATCATACGGCTAAATAATTAAAAACATGTTTATTTCAGTATCGATGTTACTAACTGAACCTTTTTCTTTTTCAGAGGGTTGACAACATCAATTATTCTAATGGTCGGTAGATCTGGGTCACTATTAGGAAATGTGTTATTCCCAGTTTTTTTGGAAATTGGATGCATGGCGCCGTTTTTAGTATTATCTGTGATCACTTTATGTAAGTTTCAATTTAGTTATACAATTATTTGTTAGACATCGTAACCTTTAATAAAAGAGCGTATTCCTTTCTAAAAAGTCACCAGAACACCTGCAATTCCTTCGATGTTGCAGGTGCTAATGGGCGGCGGTAGTCATTAACCATCAGGTAAGCCGTATACTCATTTGCCCCCTGTGGTAAAAAACAAGCTTTACAATAAATATATATCGGCGCTATTTAGTCTATTGTATAATTTCTTGTTTCTAAGTACCTATTTCTCAGGGAAATAACTGTTTGTGCCAAAATAAATGAAAAAAAATCTCTCTTCTTACATACAAGACAGTTCTTCTAGTAACTCTTTCAAGAAAAAGTAGAAATTGCATTTTTCCCCTTGAGTCGTAATCTTAACTTTTCATTTTTCTAATTGAACTGTCAAATCTTGAAAACATGAAACTAAATTTCTAATATTATATAAGTAGGTAAGTATCATATTTTTTTTTGCTGGGTCAAAATGGTATGGTAACACCGCCTGCGCTAACGGGATACGCTGGCGGAGCACCAGTGAAGGGTGATAGATGAGAATGAAAACAGGCCAGTTAGCCCATCATGATGAATTCATCAAGAACTAACCATAATAGTTTTCAGGGAGAACCGCGAGGAGGTCGGCCTGGTTAGGTATATTGCTAGCAATAGGATTCTCAGTCTCCATTACTAACAATCCCTTTATTTATGTATAGTATAATTACTTATGTAATATTCTAATATATACATGTATATTATTTTATTTTATTGTTTATTTGTTTATGTATTAATTAGTTTTAATAGTTATTCGTATTCGAAATGTTAATAGTTGTAGCATTTTAGCTGCCCCCTAACGACATGCTTTCCAACTGTATTGGGTTGACTGGAAGAGATCTTTGTCAGAGATAAGTCCACCCTTGCTTACAATGTTTATAAATGCATTAACAATGTAATTTACAAGTGCAATAAAGTGAAAGTGTGTTTGTTTGTTATCTATTGTCACTTTAAGGGCTCGACTAATTTTCATAAAATTTGGTACATGCACAAGTACTATATGGGATAAGGAAGGACATTTGGTCAATCAATATATCTTGATCATATAGATGAAATCGCGAGTAAAAGCTAGTATTTTTCATATAAGTTAAGGCTTATCTAATTACTAACATTTACACATATCTTTTTAGTCATTTAAATCAAATTGGGTTATAAATCTTATTAATATAATAAAATTTTAACTAGAAAATGTCTGTATATTATTATTTAGAAATAATATTTTTTAGAAATTTTATCTGGTTATCTCTCTGTCATTTGTTGCGGCATCATTCAAAAACTATTATACCAAATTGGATGCAGTTACAGTTATTTCTCGAAGTTGTAGCTTAAAAACTGGTGTATGTTTTATATTGATACGTCATCTAGGAATAATCAATTTTATTGGAGTTCTTACTTTTGAAATCCACGCGGATAAAGCAGCAGACAAATGCTAGTATTCAAATATAAGAACGGTCTAAGCGTCTTTGGAGACGTTCAAATTTATTACATTAGAAGTATTTTGTTGGACACTTCTGTGTAGCTTTCTACGCTCACGTCTCACCTTAATAAAATTATTTACGCAACGCAATTTATTCACAAGTGTTTATCTCGAGGAGTTTTATTTTTTTTTATATACATTTATACATTTTATTCAGAGGGAGACTTTGTACAAAAGCCGTTTGCTTGAGCACCTCTGTCCCATTCGTGTTTCAACCGTGAAGCAGTTTTGTTTACATGGTTGTGTTTCGGTGTGAAGGGTGGGATATGGTAGTGAATTTATAGGATACAGAGGAATAACACCTGAGTACTCAGGTATGGCAACGCATGGGGGGTATCTTGGGTGGAACAGTATATTCTGTTATGTCCATGGTACTGCTCATGTCTATAGGTGACGGTTACCACATTCCGTCAGTTGGGCCGTCAGCTTGTTTGTCGTTCTAAGTTGTATTAAAAAAAAAACATTGTTTATTGAAAAATTTCCTCACTTATTTCCGGAATTGCTATTTTTAGAATACACAAATCCAAGAATCGTCTGTAGTAATAACAATTTGGGAAATTACTTAATTTGTTTGTGTGATTTAGTAATCTTCTTAGGCTCTTTTCGCGAGGAATTCATCATTCCTGCGGGAAATAAGGGAATTGTCTTCTTAGTAGGCCATTTACATTATATAATAACTAGCTATTAAATGACCTGAGGACCACGATGTTGTCCCCGTATCCTGTTATTTCACATTTTATTTTTACATTTATTATATTAGTAAGAAAATAGTTGTCTCTCGTGACTTTGCTCAGATGAAATCTGTAAGTACATAAAGTAATAATGTACTAAATTTAACCATTTATCCATCAAAATATTTTAACAAAGTTTCGGATTTATAATAGTACCTAATAGTTTAAAATGAAGGGGGAGACATTGTTAGAAATGGAGATCTAACAACAATAATAATAAATAAATTAAATATATCGTATCAGGCCGACATCCACGCGTTTCCTCCTGAAAACCATATTGGTTAATTTTTATGAAATTCGTCACGATGGGCTAACTGATTTGCTTCTATTCTTACCTATAATCCCTCGCTGGAGTCTCGCCAGTGTATACCGACACACAGGCGGGGTTACCATGCTATTAATACCCATTAAAATAGGATTAAGTATGATATTGATAAATTACTTCGATAATATAAAAAATATAATTTTTAAATATTTAACTGAATTAGGTGTTATCTTAGGAAAGCCCATGTCATTGGTTATTTGATTATAATTATTTATTTATTTATTAAACACAAGGACTATACACATGAGTATATTGAACTCCGCACTAGACGAACCTGTATCGCGGGAGTCCATCAAGGGTAATCCGTTAATGGATTCTCCCGATGATCTTGATAAACCAAGACACAACGTTTTACAAATATAAATCAGTGAGTCAATTTTACAAAAAGAACATTGTAAATTAACATAAAAGTGTCTTGTGAAGACACGTGCATAAAACAACCATGTTTAATTCCGTTTTGGGTTGACTGGAAGAGATCTCTCTCAGAGATAAGTCCACCCTTGCTCACATTTATAAATGCATTATATTACATATATGTAATTTACAAATGCAATAAAGAATATATTTAAAGTAAACACTATTTATTTTTTTTCCATTTCAGGTGTTGCAGGTTTAGTTTGTTTTCTACCTAATCCACAGAAGGAAAACGAAGCGGGCGATAAATAAATTACTATATTCTAAGACTGCTTCATTATTTAGCACCTATTTCCTTAAGTGTTCCCGTAATACTTTTCTTCGAACTTGTTTTAACTTGTTCACTTAGTAATTTAATATGTTAAAAGCAAGATTAATGTGAATACTTAATGGACACTAACGTGATTCTGTTGGAATAATATAATATTCACACTTATAGCGACTTCGTGACAAAACTAATATAAAGTTAATACGAGATCAAACTATTTATTGGTAATTGTTTACATTGCAAGTCTACAAAAATAACACTTCTTATTACAATCCTGTGGTAAGGATGTGTCGTCATTATAACGACTTACTGCTCGACCACAAATCCATCGACATATTCAGTACAAAATATTTGATATTTAGGAAGAACTTGTTTTCTATTTTGTAGAATACGATTGAAAATATGTTTTTTTTTATACAGTTTTATTTTTTATATATTTATATAACATTTTAAGTATTTCTTTTTATATTATGTGTTTGCTTTTAATGAATTACTCAAGCTGTGCACATGATGTAATTGGATAATTTAACCTAGCCGAATCACAAATGTAATTATTACTTAAGTTTTTTAAGGTTGTGATCGGTTTTATGTGCCAATAAAATAAAATAAAATAAATAAATCGATTGAATCGATATATCAATATTTATAGTACTTAGATGTAAGGTGTAATTGTTGTTGCCAATAAATGATTTAATTTATAATTTAAAAAAAGAATTATCAAAATTATTGAAAATATCTCGTACGAGTAACATAAAGTCAAATAATGTAAAATAGTGACTAATAAAAAAAATGTTTTTTTCAATTGTGGTTAGTTTGATTTAAGAACAAAACTATATATATATATATATATATATATATATATATATATATATATATATATATATATATATATATATATATATATATATATTGTTTATACAAGGGACGTTATCTTGTCAGTTATTTATATACTTAATGACGAAGTTTAATAAAACAGTAATTGTCAGCATGACTTTTATTATTTTTATGCAACGATAACTACTTTATATTATTCTCAATGACGTGTATAACATAGTATACGTCATATATGTGTAAGTATATTTGTTATTTATATATATTTATTTGTTTATATATGTAATTTTAGTATGTATGTATATCAATAATTAGTACTACTACCGCATTCGAGTATTCTGACATTTTCCTATGGTTGACTGGGAGAGAATGCTTTTAGCATTAAGTCCGCCATATACATATATTTGTACTAATGAATAAATAAATAAATAAATAACTACTCATATGTATAATGATGAATCGGTCTGTATTATAATAGTTGAAGAGAATGTTTTCTATACTATATGGTTGATTACCGATTTGCTTCTTACGAGTAGACAGAAAGTTAAATTAGTATTTTATCATCATCATAATAAATAATAAAAAAAAAAAAATTATATAATCAGTCATTAATTGCCCAATGCTAAGCATAGGCCTCCCCTTAATTAACTGTCATAAGGAACGATCCCGAGCCACCTGCATTCATTGCATACATAGAGTTTTATATTAGCATTAGGATAGGATTAAATTTTGGAAACCATATTTTTTCATAAAATAATATTATATAGCTATGTTACTCGCTAATAGTATAGTTTTCTATTGGTTTTTTTTAAAGTCGGTCGATTACTTTTTGAGTTTATCCATTACAAACCAATAAATAAACAATCAAGTTTTTTTTTCTGTTTACAATATAGATAAGCAGGAATGCAATATGCCACAAAAGAAGTAATAGGTACCTACAATATATTGTAGCAGGAAAGAAAAATCAGAAATATTTTTTTATAGAGTCTAGTCAAAGTGACCTCACCCCTCCTGGTGGTAAGTAGGTAATGTAGTCCAAACGTGAGGGTCGTAATCACAGCAATTTATACTGAGTTGGTGATCGTATTTTACTATTTTAGTGGGCGTTGCGTTATCTTAAAAATTTAGGAATCCCTGATGTATATCATGAAGTTCCAAATGTCAATATAAAATCCAAGAATACATTCTGTAAGGGAACGGCAGATCTACGTAACTCACAGCCAAACACTAACCATTCATAGCCAGCAGGAATCAGAATACCTACTTACGAAGCGATTAGGGAAACTTACATTTCAACTATTGCAAATTGTTACGAACTTCGTAGATTTCTCTGGGCGAGTCAGATTGTTAACTTTGATATTCGTGCCCGTATTACAAGGTTATTATACTACTGTTTAACTACTGGGAGACTTTGACAAAACTCGCCTTCATAAGAACCTTTCTCTAACTCGTGTTTCCGCTGCAAAGCAGCTATGATTGCTTTACTGTGTTTCGGTTTAAAGAATGGAATATGGAATTTATATTACAAGTTACTGGATTTTATTGGGTGATAATAGAATGGTAACCCCGCTTGCGTTAGCTAAATATGCTTACGGGCCACCAGTGAGTGATGATAGGTGAGATTGAAAGCAGGTCAATTAGCTATTGTGATGAATTCCACAAGAATTAACCAAACTGGCTTGCTAGCAATAGGGCTATTAGAACTTCATCACTTACAATGTCATTACCTCTGGAGTTAATGTGTCGTGCAAGTATAGAAAAAGAAATGCTGGCTGGTTACCAATGAAGAATAATAGAATAAAGATAGATCAAACAGGTGAGGCTTATCGTGACAAATTCACTAGAAATTGGTCACGTTCATTTCAAGGAAAAACTGCGTGAATGTCGACCGTTAGGGTATATTATCAGCAATGGAACTGCTAGTTTCAGTGGTCCCAAGCTGTAAGGATTGTTGGGTGAGGTAACAGTCAGCAATGGAACCCCATTGCTAGTTACCCAACCAGGTCGGCGGTTCCCAAGTTAATTCTGATGAATTCATCATGATGGGCTAATGATGGTGCTCCGCCAGCGTATCCCGTTAAATTTTTCACCCCTCAAAACAAACAGTCAGGTCAGTTGGTTCAACGTGATGGTTTCTAGAGCGCGTGAATGCTAACTTTAAAGAGTTTCGCTAGCAACAGGGCTTCTATTCTCCATAACAATCGCTCCCTCACTTATGATAGTTAAATATGATAATGTATATATTTATATGTGTATGCATATGTAGTATATATTATTCATAATAATAATTACTAGACTCCTTATATATAAATAAATAAAATGTGTTTGATATTTTTGTGCATTATACATAAAGATTATTAATTCACTCTTGTGCCACCTACCCACTTCTATATGTTCTCCTTTAACCAAAGGTTGTCTGTAAGAGATTGCCTTAGCTTTTTGTACCTTTATATGTATATTTTGATCTATACTTCATGCTACTGTATTTCAGTTGAATAGTTTATATGTCATTGTTTATTTTTATGTTTTTGGTGCAATAAAGAGTTAAATAAATAAATAAGTAGTTTTTTTTGATGGATGAGAATAGAATGGTAACACCGCCTGCCATATTGGTATACGCTGAAAACCCTTATGATAGTTACGTATGCAAAAGAAAATTAAACGCCCCATAAATCTACGTTTACACAAAATATGCCCATTCCATTTGATATGTCGACTAATAAATGGAATTTAATCAAAGCCAACTTATAACGAATAACCTCCAATGAAACTGATTGATGTATTCTTCGACATAAATTTTTCATGTTTCATTAAAAATCATCGTCGAACACTGAAATTTATTCCATCAAATATTTTTGCGAGTAAATGTAATTACAAAATTAATATATAATTCATTTAAAAGTGGACACAATCGTAATGTTGACATTATTACTATATATAATTTTTTTATTTTGCGCATTTGTCATTATCCTATATTGACGTTTCACTATTGGGTACAGACGATGAAGATAATTTTTATAGGATGGGTAGTGAATGAACGGTGTCTACTTTTTCTTCTTGCGGGAGAGCTAGGTAGAAGTCTTGGGGCGAGCCCCTTTGCCCCAAATTCAATTCCGGGGGCAACTACACTAGAGTCATTGATTCTAAGCCTCGCTGGCATGGTGAGTCTGGACGTATAATAACTTACTTAGTAATTATACTCACAAGATGGCGTAGTATTGGATTTTATTTCATTATGCCCACAAATAAACCTAAATTACAACTCATAAAAGTCACAACAATTGTCGGAAATGACATATATAATAAATTCATCATCAATCGTTAAACAATTATTATTTTATGAAAAAAAAAACTTCCTTATTTATTCTCGACATTTCAATCCTTACTAATATTATAAATATGAAAGTCAATTTGTTTGTTACCTTAAAAAGCCACTATGAAATTTTATATACGCGTACTATATGGGATGGAGAAGGATATAAACTACTTTTCTTTGTGGTCAGTAAACATATCCCGGTCACGGACGAAGTCGCGGAAAAAAGCTTGTATTAAATAAAAGTAATACTAGAAAACTACACATGCAGTGTTGTCCTTATTAAAAAAGTAAGCATGTTTAAACAGAAATTAATAAAAATTTTGGTTATTCGACCAGCAGACCGTCTCATCGTCGTTGAAAATTATTTACAATTAATATTAATTGATTAATAAATTACAATAAAGAGTAAATAAATATTATTTTTTATTTAATTCTACTGTAGCATACTGATACTAAAAGTCTTAGTTTCCGCAACCTTGATAGATCGCAGGTCAACGAAAAAGCAGAACTAAAACAAAACATCTTAAACGTCCAAAGTTAACTACCGCAAATACATCAAAACTATTTCCCCGATACACGAGCCAACACAAACGTTTCCCTATGAACATAATCCCGGAAACTTTTCATAAACAAGCGGCAACTAGCAAATTTCCCCAAGGTGGGCTCGTGATGCGAATCATTTATGTTTGGTGTGACTAGTGGTGTGCCGAGTCGGCCGTTTTTAACATTCGAGTATTTTGGTACTCTAAAAAAAAGAATCGAGTTTTGACTCGAGTCAGACTCGGACAGGTACTGGAGTACTTGTATGGATATTCGAGTTATCGACAGATTCGGGTATTGTTTTCAATGATTTCTAAATTTTACTTTTATGTAAATAATTTTCAGCAATTTAAAGTTTTTTCCTTTGGCCATTAGAGAAAATATTTAAAAAATGCCGAAATCCTTTATATATTATAAATGTGAAGGACAATATATTTGTTTTTTTTTTTATTACCTCTTAGCACATTAATAGCTTAACAAATTACTATGAAATTTGGTATACATGTAGTATAAGGGGTTGAAAAAGATATAGGCTATCTGTTATCGCTGTTAGAAAACATATCCCGGTCACGTGAATTAAGTAGATAAAATCTGGTAGAAACATAAGAACTAATGATAAATATACGAATAGTATTCAAAATACTCGAATTCTGTATTCGAATACAGTGTGTTCGAGTTCAGGGTATTGAATCCTCGAGTACTTAGTAGCTATTCGAGCCAGTACTCGAGTCAATCAAACTCGGTACCTCACTGGTCGTGAGGCAAAAACTATTTTGTTTCCTAATTGCTTTCGCGCCGACTCAGCTGAACGCTCCAAGAATATTTAATGGCGTAGATTGTAGGAAGCTGCACTTACATTGGATTCAAGTGAACATTTTAATGTAAAATATAAAAGAGAAATGAATTCTTCCCTTGTAGAGTGATTTTCTTTTCTGCTACAGTATTTATTTATTAGGGTTCCACGGCTTTATTTTTATTTTTATGCGACTTCCAAGATGAGATGGACATTCTGAACCGATTTTAATAGTTCTTTTTGTAATCGATAGGGTTTTCAATTTTTATTTTATGATGATGGCCACCATTTTTTTTGTGGAGCAAACAAAATAGTTTGTTGCAATGTAAAATTTACTTGTGTACTTTTGATTTTATTATTCATGATATTTTCAATTTTATAATGTTTAAAATACTTCAAGTAGCAACTTCTTTATCGCAGTGATAGGCTTTGCTTTTTTTAAACGAAATGTACTTGTTCTTTTGGATTATAGCATTTATGACTATAGTGTGACTATAAGGTTCCTTCAGGGTCGACAATGCGCACGTGACATTCCTTGTATTACAGGCATTCATAGACTACAGTAACGGTTTACCATCAGATGAGCTGTATGCTGTTTGCCATCTTCGTGATATAAAAAAAACTAATGCAAATTAAATATACTTATAATAGTAAAAAACGAAGGTTACAGAAGATTATTTATTAATTTATGGAAATGATATTACAATGTCTAACATAAGGCGTTATGCTTACGTACCTTGTAATTTCACTGTCATATTCCATTCCTCAAGCCGAAATATCTTGCTCGTATATGCTAAGTGGTAGACACACGAGTAGAATATAGGTATACATGAATAAGACAGTATAAGGTTTCTCTTTGCACTTCTGCTTTTATTTGTACGTCTATGCGCAATGAAATTTTAGTCTGTGGTCAAATGATTTAGTGCGGTGAATCGTTTTGCATTTTTTATCGATTTAAACAGAAAAAGCTACGTCGTCATTGTTTAGGTTTCAGTTTTATGCATCGTTGAGCTCGAATGGATTCCGCTATACAGCATTGGATAAAATTAGATAAGAACATTAAAAAAAATCCAAAAATATGCAACTACATAGAAGGAAATTATAAAAAGCTAAGTATATTGGTCTATGATGTAGCTCTATGTTCATCAATGGACAAATTAATGACTTAAATTAAAAATACTGGATTATCCGTGGAGTTTTTTTTTAAATGGGAATGAAAATGACGATGATGATGGTGACCCCGTCTGCGCTATCAATATATACTCCTATGCTGACAGGACATCAATACGTGTCGATACATGCAGAAAAAATCAGATTAAATAGTCTATTTTCATGGACTTGCCAGAAATAGGTCTACGAAAGTTGTCAGGAAGCTCGCGTGGAGCTCGACCTGACATCCTGTCTGCCCATATTTACACGTACTATAGCAAAGGGTAGCCCCATTGTTAGTCCCCGTTATTAACGATTTGTTTCCCCCATTCGTAGAATAAGAAATCAATGTGTCATCGCGTCTTATGATCACCAAGATATCGTAAAGAGTGACTGTCGTAAGGAATTCAACACTAGTACAAGAGATAGAAAATTTAAAAGAAATCTTATTAATATTAGTTTTTTTTTTAATTGGTGTTAATGTGAGGGATGATAACTGAGGATGAAAGTAGGTTAGTTATCCCAGCGTTCACTGTTGTGTTTCTAAAAGTCTAACTTCCAAATGGACGATAGAATTATAAAGAATAAGTATTTTAAATGCATAAATTATAATTAAACGAAAATATGAATTTCTTTCTTTCTTCTTCTTAAGGTGCTTCCTACTGGAGGCTGGCGATCATCATGGCGATCTTCACCTTGTCCACCGCCACCCTGAAAAAGGATCTAGTGCTTCTTGTGATTCCGAATCACTGCCTTAGATTTTTTAACTAGGAGGTTCGGCTTCTTCCTGGTCTCCGGCAACCTTGTATCTTGTTTTTTCTACTTTCTACTTATTGTCATGAAGCTGACTCTGGTCATTGACCTTCGTAGAGCATTTTATTTCGAGATTTTTTTCCATTACATTAAATTCAAGGTATAAATAACATTTTTATTTGACAGTTGATCGACTTGACCAACTGCCCTTAAATACTCTGTGATCAGGAGCTATAGGACAATTTCGTACTTTTTATCGAGTTAACTGGAAAATCTACGTTCTTGTTTAGGGTTCACTTTTATGAATCGTTGAGCCCGAATCGATTCCGCTGTATAGCACGGTTGGTTACTGTTGATATGGGTATTTGGGATGACTCGATAGTTCGATGCCATCAAATCCGTCGTTTGTATTAAATCGACGCAATACGACGACACTTCGTTATTTCGCTTCGTAGCTCATAATATAAAATAAAGTAGATACTATTTTGAATTTCACACTCAGAATAATAAAAAGCTTATATATATAGGAAAATATTGTTTTACTTAATATCTATTTTTTTATTATTATATCAGCCATTAACTGTACACTGCTAAACGTAGGGCTGCGTCTATTTAAATGTTTTGCTAGCAATTGTTACGCTTGGCAGGTGAGTTGGTAAGTGTAATTAGGTTTTGGTGGTGTTTTTAGAGGAACGTTGCTATCCATTCCTCGACCATTAAATCGCCTCTTACAACATCCATAGGAAGGGAACAGTTGTCCTATTCTATGTCGGAACCTCACGGCGTCTATCTTCATTAATACATAAAGCAGAAAAGTTTGTTCGTTTGTTTGAATGCACTGAACTTTGGAATTACTAGTTGAAACTAAAAAAAATATTTTGCATTTATTAGCTTATTTTTTTAGAAAAGATTTTCAACTTTATAATACGGCTATGAGCAAAGAAAAATGTAAATGAAAAGTACTAAAATACATTTTAAAGATTTTATGCCTATGTTCCTAATATTACATAAAGTCTTCCCGCGACTTTGCCTATGTGACTCAGTACATAAAATCTCCTGTATATTTACTACATAATCTATTTATATACAAAATTTCTTTTAAATTATTTCAATAGATTTTGTGTAAAACATAAATAACATACATACATCCTTACAAACATATTTCTGCGTTTATTATAGTAGTAAGATTCATTATAGGACTTTGAGAATCTTATTATATGTTATTTTTTTATTCTGCCGCCCAATTGGGAAATCAGTTGTAGCTGAGAAAAATGAACACGAAACTTTACTTTTGTTCTTTTTAAACAAAACGGGGGAATTATTATTAGGTACTATCATAATTATTAATATAATATGTATAATAAAGGGCATTACTCTTGCTCTTCTTCTTGATTGTGAAGAGATCTTTGATTGTGACTATGATATGTGGTCCCGCCGTGTTGGTCCCGGTATAGAATAGACCACCCCTTCCTTTCCCGTAGATGTCGTAAGAGGCGATTACGGGAGCTTATGGTGGAGTGATGGGCAGCAGCGTCTGTTTTAAAATATCACCAAAACCTATCTTCAGTTGCTAACCCGCCTGCCAAGCGTAGCAGTTACTGGCAAAATACCCCAATAGAGGATGGCCTAAAACATCTATAAAAGTCTAACTGCGGTTGCCAAAAAGCCTGCCAAGCATGGCGACTACTGACAAAACTCCCCTTATGGGGAAGGCTTATGTTCAGCAGTGGACAGTTTATGACTGATATAATAAAAAAAGTATGGATGGCGACCTCTAGTATTAAAATTTTACGCTTTTCTTATGTATGGGGTTTACTGAAGTACGAAGCAAGTGCTAATCATTATTCATAATACTGTATGTGATTAAAATATACAAATAAATACTTAATTTTCTGCTAGCCTCATGGTTGAGTGGTAGAGAACTCCATTAGGTGTTAAGTTCGCCATATGTACACTATATTATATAAATGTGCATTGAAGTTTAAATAAATAAATAAACCGAATTTGAAAAAAATCACAGGTTTTAGTTGAGATTCGATCTTGAAATTTTCGATCACAATTAAGCACAGAGAGGTTTTTGATGGGAAACAAATGTGGTTGCAACAACATAATACAATTGTTAAGACGACTTTAAATTTTGGCATCGCTTACTTATATAAATTTATTACATTGAAGTACCTAATAGTGGATATAATTTGACACATTATATTTAAGTATCATCAAAAGAAATATTTATTGGTTACATCAATAAGTCTTGGTAACAAATGTTCTGACGTACCATACTTCTTAATACCTATTACTAGTTTACCAACTCTTCGGCCACCAAAAACCTTAATGAGCTGCGCTGAAATTGTCGTTTTGCATTTCACATTGCATTTAAATTCCGTAAAGTTATAATTCCTTCAGCGTATTGTAATAATTTATGACTGTTCTGCAAAAAAGAAAAACCGACTTCAACTATGACAAAATTAGTTGTTTTGTTTTAAAACCATATTACTGTACTTATTTTGCAAAATTTCTATGGAACTATTCAATAAGTACATATATCCATTCAGATTAAAAAATAAATTTCCATATTGATATACAATTGATGGAGTTGTAAAGTAACAAATTTAAACAATAAATAAAACCGATTTGAGAAGCTTCTTATTCATTTTTGCAGCGATTAAAAAATAATATTTAAATATTTACCTCTTTAGACTTACAGCTGACACTTTCAATACTTGCATTGCCTCTAAATATATACAAAACAAACTCCATTTTAAAAATATGAAACAAAAAATAGTATGTATATAACAAAAGAGAATACATACGAGTAGCAAAATCAAAAATGTCACATTCAATCAGTAATACTAACGAACTCGCTTGCAGAATATAATCCACTGCAAATTTCAATACTTTTCAAGTATTTTTTTAACTTGAAAAATATTAAATTTTCCGTTGGCTTTTTCAATCATAAAATATACCGTAACCGCTATAAACAAAGATTAGTTTGCGACTGCAGCGCCACTTAACCACGTTGGTACGTAATAATCAAATTAAAACTCAATTCCGCCGGCGGACTTCGTATATCGACTAGTAAATTCACGTGCGAAAACACTATAAATGTAGGAATCTTACAAACTTTGCAACTAAATAATTCAGTGCAAAGTGCACTTTCTGTATACAGACATAAGTTCGTAAACTTAGTTGACTTAGTTGGCTTATTTTGATGTTTCTTTTATTTTCATAATTATTCAATATAACATGAATATATTTAAAACTCATTGAAATACATTTATTAAGAGTATTATTATCTCAGTAAATACATTTATTATTATTGTTATTAAAGAAGATATATATATACAATATATACACATGTATACACATATACACACACATACGATATTTAAATAACAATTAGTGACAATTGGAGATGCATTAATGAGGCAAGGCACAAAGAGGGAAGAAAAGAAAAAAGTAATAATAAATGAAAAAAATAATTTAGAAGCTTATATTAGATAGATAGAGTGTCTCCATCTATCCGGGTCAACTTTTTCATACAATTTTGTGTGATAAATAGTTATGAGTGATTTCTTTATAACTTCTATATTTATTTTGTTTTATAAATTCTGCACCTTTCTAATGCACTAAAACTTATTTTGTTTATTAAAACATATAGATCCGTCAAGTTACATTATGTGCGTAAGTATTTAGAAAAAATAATAAAAAAAATGAGTAAGCTAATTTGACAATTAGCTAACAAAAAGTTTAACCGTTTTTGAGGCTCGATGCTTTATCTATATGATCTAAGTTTAGAAGATAGGATGAATTAATTTTTAAATTTCGTCATAGTAAAGCTGCTGAAATCACTCTATAACAGTTTTTTTATACATATATTTATTGAGGGTGGAAATTTATATTTTTAAGTTAATCGTTTTATAAAGATAAAGCCCAAGAAAAATGTAGTATCTATGTACAAACGTCGTGTTATGTTTACCATGTGCTAAACGGCTTGTGTAAAATTAACCCTCTGACCGGGCATCCTGCGATTTACGCGTGCAGTGTCTGCAAGTTTAATTTTACGCATCCCGCGATTTGGACGTTGTTATCCCGCGATTTTTGTTTTGGTAGATTGCTATTGTCTCTCAGAATCTCGCTAGATGGCTAAATACTCGTACTGGTATTTGTTGTCAAAGCTATGTATTTTATTATTGCGAAAAAAAATACGCAATCAGAGAATTAATATAATAATGGCAATAAGTTAATAATCAAAATGTCAATTATAATAGGTATTATGAATCAATGAAAGAATCATAATATATATAATTTAAATTATATATTTCTTTTTATAGTGCATCTCCAACTAGTGACAGTTTTTTTTTAATGGATGATAATGAATTGGTAACCCTGCCTGTGTACAGAATCAGTCCTTGTCTTTTGCAATATTTATTTTTACATATGTTACCTTTGGATTCTAATTATAAGACGTTCCCTGCGTTTTAAATTAAAAAAAAAAACACATTATATTACAGAAAACAATCGAAAGTTTGTTTAAATATTATAAAATTGATACTTTATATAAAAACTTTTTACGTCAGTATTTTCATTTACCAATTTGATTTTCTATATAAACTTCCGCCTATTTTATAAGTGTTAAAACTGTAAGTTTTAATTAGTAGTAATACTCTCGGTTTATTTATAGTCAAACTATATCGGTAACTTCAAATTAAATTAGCAACTGTTACCAGAATAGAAACTATGGGCAGAATTGCTTTTTAGGTAGTCCCTAATAAATCGACACAATTTCCTTTAACTATTTACGAGTCATTAACCGTTTCAGTAACGAGTTATTAGTATATCCTTCAAGTTATAATTTAATTCAGAATATTTCATCATATTATATATAATGGAAGATTTACACAGAGCGCATACGCACATATGCAGATACATAAGCAAGCGATTGCATCAGCCTTAAAAAGAAAATACAATGAGTTTTAAGAGCGCATGTCCTAAGCAAAGTGTGTCAAAACAAGTAAGAAAATTATTATACCTGTACATTAGGGATGGGTGATATTAGTACCGCTCCAATATCTATATTTTAGGATTCTTTAGCTATTGATGACGGTAAAGAGGCCATTACCTATTTAGATATTAACCATAACAGATGGATATCTGTATACTTTTTGATCGGATTCTTTCTTACGATATCATATATTGGTTAATCGAGATTTAATATATTCGTTATTAGGCCAATATATATAGATATAATAATAACAATATATAGATATTACTATATATTATCCATCTTTATTTAATTCTTTATTGTACACACCAGTTATAAGAATATGACAGAGGTAATCAAATGCACAAAGGCGAGCTTTACTCTAATAGAGTTTTCAGCGGGAAGAGCGGTGTACAATATTGTGACAATTTTTAAGCAAACTAGACTAAATTAAATTAATTACATTATATTTAATCGTATAAATACGCATATACATATACATAAATATATATCTATGCATAGACTTACACATAATTACACACATATTGCACTTTATTGTACAGTAAATCTATGTACTTAGATGATTGCACCCCGCAGTATAATCATTTTATTCTGTGTTGCATAAAAAATATTATTAAAATACTTCAAAAGCAGACCGAATATCGGCTGTTTTGAATTACTACGCGCCAACTCGCAACGCTTGATGTAAATCGTGCGTAAGAGGCCCTGCAGCCCGCAGCTACGTGTACTTTATTTTCTTAAAGTGAAATATTTGTGTGGGTAGTAATTATTCATACATACTTACATACATATCTTTAACCGAGGTAAGTTGGACTAAATTGTAATGCCCTCAGGTATACAATATTACTTACCTGGGTTATATAGGTCATAGAATAAAAGTAATTTTTGTTATTAGTTAAAAGTGATCTTGTAAACGTTGGTTTTTTTTTTGGATAAAAATTAAATGGTAAACCTGTCTATGCTATTGATTTATGCTGGTACCAATAAAGATGAAGTCAGGTTGATGGGCCATATCATAACCAATTTATAAAGGAATTAATATAATATTTATAAGCTTTACAATTAACAATCACCTAACCTAACATCTTTTATAAAGATCTTCCAAGCAAATAAATATTTGATTACATTTCAATTTTTTTTAACACTATCTTTTACCCGCGACTTCGTCTGTCGTTTATTTTCACATTTATAATATTATTAAGGATCGATCCGTGTACTGCGAGCCTAAATACAGCACAAATACACACAAATGGGGAAATACGCAAATGTCGAGCGAAAATTGCCAAATTCTATTGGAAATAAAATTGGATAAAACTGTGAGCATTTGGGGAGTAAAGTTTCCAATATTTTGAAATTGCGACACTGCGGCCTCGCGACTTTTGTTTGCCAAATATTAAATTTTTAACATATTTTAACAATTTTCAATTTTTGTTAGTAGATTAGAATTATATTGTTTAATTCAGCTACCATTAGCTTTTGGCCATAACAAAATATCGGTGTTTTTTTATACAACTTAGAATGGCAAACAAACTGACGGGCTACCTGATGGAACCGATGGTAACCGTCGCCTATAAACATGACCAATACCACAGATAATATAATACTGCAATACTATGAACATTACAGAGTATACTGTTTCGCTCATGATATCCCCCGTGCATTGCCATTCCTGACGACTCAGGAATTCCTCTGTACTATGTAAATTCACAGCTATACAAACACAACTGCTTCACGGAGCAATACCATGGACATAACATATACCGTTTCGCCCATGATATTTCCCATGCGTTGCCATTCCTGAGGACTCAGGTGTTATTCCTCAAAATTTTGTTCTTTTGATAGAAAAGTAATAGATAATAATAAACTGAGTTCATTTTGTGTTACTAAAGCAGACGCACAAAAAGAAAGAAAAAAGAAAAATTATGTTAATTCTTTAACAACTGAGGTGGCAAACGAGCATACGGCCCACCTGATGGTAAGTAGCATTTGTAAATAGCACTAAGGTAATGTTTCAAATAAAAGAAAAGGAAGAATGAATTGTCAAATGGTTTTTTAAGTTTTTTTTATGGATATATATATATATATATATATAAACATATTATGAATGATGTTTATTTTGGCTTATTCGATATAAATACACTTATACTTGAATGATAGAACTGTCATTATGACAACTAGATTATTTTCTGAAAAAAAAAGCTAAAATTATAATTAAATTACAGTAGAAAAAAGTATCAGTAGCAAAAACAATTACTAAAATCAATTTAAACTTGACGAAAACATCGCGTAATATATATATATATATATATATATATATATATATATATATATATATATATATATATATATATATATATATATATATATATATATATATATATATATATATATATATAAATATATTTTAAAAAACTATTGCTATAAAGTCAAGTACTTCCTTCAGGAACACAACTATAGTTCTTATGTGATATCAGGACCAACAAACATACACACGGGCAGACATAATTTCTTAAAATTATTGTTTTAGGTTATTTATTAATTATTTTGATAGCCTTTATTAAGATCGTTCATTTTATTTTTCCTAAATATTTCCTATGCACAGACATTGTCTTGTTACAATTTTATTATATTAATAAGATTAATTAAATGCTTTGTATGAAAAAAGTCTTGCACTAAAGAACGCCGAAGTCTGTATAGGCCTTAACTATCAGAAAGTAGGTGTAATATCATATTTTCAAAAATTTTCATCGTACCAAAGAGCATGATTGATATGCATGAAACTATTTCCAATTAAGCTGTTAGCCATATCACGAACTTTTGTGTGAGGACAGAAATATTGGGTAATATTTCGTACGTGAAACTTGATTATTTATACCGCATACTGACATAGGGATGTCAAATGTGCATATCGATTAATTATATTTGTAGTTGAAAATATAAAAAAAAAAAAATTAGAACTACAAATATAAACATTGACAAGACTGTGACTTTCTTTCTTCTAATGAAATAT